TGTATTTTGTGGCAGGTCTCGCTTTGTGTGAAGCGCCTTGTCTATCTCAATGACAAGGGAGAGGAAGTGAAGGGTGTCTGCTCAAATTACCTCTGTAAGTGGCGGCCAGGTCGAATGTTAAATTTTAACTAAGAAATAACTACCACGGGCGACCTCCGTATTTTCTTCAGTTCCGTTTTGCACTGGAAACAGGTCTTTTTTTTTCTTTTTCTTTTTTTTTTGTTCGTGAAAAGGACCATCATGGCGTTTAGATATAAACATTGAACTGACCGGGACGAGGATTTTAAGAACGGAAAAAAAAAAAAAAAAAAAAAAAAAAATTATGCTTTTCATCTGATAGTATCTGGATTTAAACTCCAGTCTGTATTTCAATCAACAGTTAATAAGGGGTGTACCAACTGTGAGCGAGGCCCGTGGATGGAAACAGGTCTTGGCATTCTACCGTCTTTACCCGAATAGAACGCCGGGTCATTATACATGTATTTGGCACAACTTTCGGTCCAGATGCAGCGATAATGACCGGGTAATGTTTTTTGTACCTTTTTTTGGCTTTCTTTCATTCAAGTCTGGCGCCTACGGTAGAAATTGGAGCTATTTGGCCTCCCAAAGGTATTGATGTGTTAGATCCTTGGGGAATCCCCTTTCTATTCGGGTGAATTTGAAATTCAGTTTGGTCACGTGCATCTCAGAAGACGAGTGGTGTCATGTCAAGGGCCTTCTAGGCCTCTGGCCCCTGGGGCGTGGTCCCACTAGCAAAGAGGATCGCATCGAATGCCTGAATCTGGACCTGTTTGTGGAGAGGTGCGTTAAATCGAGATTGAACTGCTTTTCTGCATCTGTGCATAAAAACACATCCACATTCAGGAGCTTGATCCAATCCTCTTCGCTAGTGGGTCCAGGCCCTGCTGGTCCTTCACTTGCCGCTGGAAAACGATTCAGCCGTCGACGGCTCAAATGAGTCAATTTTTTTTTAATTTTTTTTTTCTTGTGGAGCACGGGCCGTCTTCACTTGCCGACCAAAACAATTCAGCCATTCGATGGGATGGATCGACAGCTGAACTGTTTTCCGGCGGCAAGTGAAGAGGGTCAGGCCTACTAACACCCTGGAAAGGAATCTGGCCGTGCCTTAGGCCACATTCAGGCCTTCCCTGGCCCCTTGTGACTGGGCCACGGCTGAGACGCCGAGATGTTTCGGCTCACCCGACGTGGAAGTTTTCCAAAACGTACGCGACTAGACTGGACTGCATTTGAAAATTACCCCCACGACTGGACTGCATTTGAAAACTACCCCCACGACTAGACTGCATTTGAAAACTACCTGCACGATTGGACTGCAAAAACGTGTTTTGATTGAAAATCGAAGCTTGGGTTTTGACGTGGGCCCCCATAGTCACCTCCTTAATTATAATTCCTGTACCTTTTCAGATCACGGCCGCTCATTTAAAAACTTAGTAGACCGGCATTTGCAAGAGCGAGCTGAAATGTAAACCAAACAAACGTGTCCAGTAGCTGTTAAGCTAGAACAAAATCAACAAACAGTAATTACGCCAAAGAGAGAGCAGGAAAGAGCAAGAGATTATGGGAGTGAGTAAGCGACGGCACACCTGCCCATGCCTGTTCGAGAGAGAGAGAGAGAGAGAGAGAGAGAGAGAGAGAGAGAGAGAGAGAGAGAGAGAGAGAGAGTGAGAGASACAGAGAGAGAGAGAGAGAGAGAGAGAGAGAGAGAGAGAGAGAGAGAGAGAGAGAGAGAGAGAGAGAGGGTTGCACTGAAGACGACATCTTTGGGTCCATGTACTGTTGCTTTGAATCACGTCCAGGTTCGCCTTTGGAATCGAACTCAAACTTGGAACTCCGGTCTCGAACTCTTTAAAGTCAGACAACACAAGAGGTATGAGCCCTTTGGAATACAAAATTCATTCCGCTTGTTAGTGAGCACTACTTCCACAGGGGTCAGTAATAATACCCAGCTGAGGACCCAAATCAAGGATTCCAATCGAAGCTTGAGTGAGGCAGCACCACAAGTCCAATTCGCCCATCCAAGGCGAGTGGATGATGAATGAATGTTCAATTTTGTATCATGGCGGAAAAAAGAAGTTAGCAGAGTGTCAGAGTGAAGTGCAAAAAAAAAAAAAAAAAAAAAGAAGGAGAAGAAGAAGAAGAAGAAAAGAGTGGAGTGCAATCATCCTTTCGGCATTTTGTACATCTTGTTGTGTCTGGAGTAATTCAATTATTGTCAATTTATTGACAATTTATTGTGCTTCCCTACAGGTGACCTGAAGTAATTCTTTTTTTTTTTTTCACCTCGTCTGAATTGTCAATCCCTACAGGTGACCTGAAGCCCGGCAATGATGTGGCAATCACTGGCCCTGTCGGCAAGGAGATGCTCATGCCAAAGGACCCGAATGCGACCGTCATCATGGTATTATTCATTATAATTCGGATCCTTATAATTATCAGCAATGTCAAGTTGTGTCAACCTTTCCATTCTCTGAAGAGTCTGCAGTGAAGCAATTGGCTGAGCTCCTGCTATTATAATAGCAATTGACAAAATATAATAGGCAGATAAAGAAAAAAAAAAGTTTTAAAAACCTTTTTTTTATTTGTTCTGTAATTTTCAAACTTCAAGATTCGGAATTGAGGAAGAAGAAACAAATCTGATTCACTGGAGGCTCGCTAGCTAGGGAAAGAGTGAACGGCGAAACACGCGCACATCGAGCCATATCCATAATTATTAATGAAAAGAAATCTTTATTTTGTCTTTGAAATTTGAATTCCCTCGTGACCACCAAAAAACAGAGTCGGTTCACATTCTGTACTCTTAGTCTATGATATCAATCAATGCCGATCATATTTACAGTTAACAATGGTTAGCAGGATTGATTCTGTGATGCAGAATGATCCGAAGAGTGGAGATCAAGGTCAGCGACCTTTCAACGCTGCTCCTGGCCAAGTTCATGGTACTGTACATTACAGTAAGAAAGGGAAACTTAAGAGTAAACGCGCGTACAGCGAGCCATATCCATAATAATAAAAAAAGTAATCTTTATTTTTGTCTTTCCCTCGTGACCACCAATAATACCTCCTCCTGGATGGAGGTGCGAGCTTCGGTGCCGAAAAAGCTTGGCTTTGTTCGCAGATTCGGCGCAGAATGCAAATGCGAACAATGCATCAGAAACTGAAGAACTGATGTCATCAGAGGTTGGAAGCTGCGTAACGAGCTATTTTCATTCTCAGATTCTAATATCATTCTATGGCTCAAACCCATACATAGGGGTACTACCCCTTTTAGGTGACTGCCCCCTGATCCATGGGGTCCAGTTCCAGACTGCCTTTCTGTTCCTGGACTAGTCAGCTGTCCAGGTTCGTCTGCTGGCCGCCTGGGTACATGTTCGTATGTTCTTCGATGCATGGATTCCTTCTGTGTGATTCATCCACATGCAAGATGGTTCCGTCTTGCTTGCTGCTCGTGCGTACGTCCAACTGCGCACAATGTCATGTGTGGTCCGTCATCTGCTCCCTTTTTTTATCACCTCCTCTCCCTCCATCACCCACTTCCTGTACGTTAACCCAGTTCTTGTACCCACATCTTGTACTGTTTGCATGTGCGAGTAGCCTACCCTGTTGTGTGCCCGTACCGTGTGGTTACTTGGGTGTCCCTCTTCCCTATTGCTCATATTATCCTGTGACAAAGTGAATTGTTTTTCATCGTCTTCTTGCTCCGACTCCTCCGAGTTGACGAAATTACCACCTCTAATCATGATTAATCATGATTAATCATGATTAATCACGAACAATCAGTGATCATTAATGATTAATGCGCATTGTTTCTGACGAGGACTCCAAGGCCTTTTTTTTCCCCCTCTTTTGAACAGGATCCTTGTCTTTCAGAAATTAGAAAATCAGGATGGTTGGAAAAATACACACCAAACAACCTTCTTTTTTTTCTCTCCTTTTTTTTTTTGACTTGGAGCGTTGATATGACTACAGATGAGTAATACTATTTGGCCACACATACATAACAACAGTCAGAATATCAAACAAAAAACCCCAAGAAGCATCAAAAACATTTCTGACAAAATCCATGGTGCGAATTTGACATTTGACCGGTTACCCCTTGGGCCCTTTCCACTGTGCTTTGAACTGCTTTCCTTATTCTCCGCTTGTCTGTCCTCATGATCTCGCTTCCAGCTCGGCACTGGTACGGGTATTGCGCCATTCCGAGGGTTCCTCTGGAGAATGTTCTTCGAGAAGCATGACGACTACAAAGTAAGAGAACTATGAGCCCCCTCCAACCCCTCCGCTCCTCTCTCTCCCCATTGTAGCCACGCTGAGCTCATCCACCTCCCTCCCTCCCTCCCTCCCTCCCTCCCTCCCTCCCTTCTCCATGCAAATACTAGGCAAAAAGTTTTAAAAAGTAATAAAAACTGGTATTAATAGGGAACCCTGACAACCTGTGATCCCTACAGATTTGTATTCTCAATTGCAAAAAGACACAAGTGTTACGATCCTGGCCAATTTCAAAGTGCAAATCACGAGAAAGCTCAATGCTGTCCCTTTTTCTTCTTCTTCTTCTTTCTTTCTTTCTTTCTTCGTCTTTCTTTCTTTCTTCTTCCTTCTTTCTTTCTTTCTTCTTCCTTCTTTCTTTCTTCTTGCCAGGTCCTTGCACAAGAACGGCAAAACTCAGAAAGCAGCTGTGTTCTCAGTCCGTGTTTTGCAAGGTCCTTACACAAGAGCGGCAAGCTGTAGTAAGATGAAAAGCCAATATCTCTGCTGCCGTCTTGCCGCAAATAGAATGTGGACTTGTACGAACTGTCGCAAATGCACGTGACTCTATGTTCTCTTCACTGAGTCTTCAGGGAAAACTCGTCAGCAACTGCTTCACCAGAGAATCCCCATCAATATCTAACATGTATCAAAGCAGAGGCGAGGTCCCTCTTTCCCAGATCCTTCATTTCTTGCCGGTTATCTTCATCATCCACTACTAGTATCAGATACTGAACGTGGGACCTTCCCTCTGGAACACTCTTTCAACTTCCTTTGGGAATGGGCCCACACCGCGAAGTCCTAGTGGCAACTCTTCACAGCGCTTTTGCAGTAGTGTCCCTCTTGATAACCTTCCTCGCTTAGTCTATCCTCTTTTTTGAAGTTTTTCCCTTTTCTTTAACCCTGTGTGGCAGCGTCACCAGCGTGTGCCCTCTACTTTCAGCTCCCTACCATCTTCACCCGAATAGAACGCCCGGTCATTATAGCTGTGCATCTGGCCTGAACGTTGCCCTGAAGACAGCTATAATGACCGGGCGTTCTATTCGAGTGATGACGGTAGTTGCTATTTGAACCTCTGCCATCAGAAAATAGCAGTTGTGTGAATCTTTTGAGGTCCATTCCTGACAAATCCATTACGAAGTCAGACTCTGTGAATAGGTCACAGAAGGGCAGCCGATTGAATGCCCTCGTCTGCATATCCTGTGTGACGTGTTTATGGCATTTTGTTCCGCAGATGTGTGTCAAGGTTTACCCCTTCAGAATCCTAAATATCAAACCCTTTCATGAAGCGAGTGGTGTCTCTATGTGTAGTATCTACACGTATCTATGAAACTCATTTCTGCGGATGCATCAAAGGTCTACCCCTGCCGAATCCCAAAATGTCAAATCCTTTCAGACACAGAGTGAAAACGAAACAAGCACATACTCCTGTCAAGTCAAAACTATGTATGTATGTATGTATGTATGTATGTATGTATGTATGTATGTATGTATGTATCTGGGTAGCACCGCGTACGCGTACGTACGCCCGTGTACATATTTATTGATTTTTAAATTTTAACACGTATATATAAAATATATAGTATATAGTATATACCGATTCCATACATGTGTGTGGAAGGTGAGGACAAGGAGGGCAATGGGGAGGAGGGGGAGGAGGGGGAGGAAGAGGATGATGGGGAGGAGGAAGACGACACTGTGGAGGGTAGTCTTCCTCCTCCTCCTCCTCCCCAGCGCCGTCTTATTCCTCGTTTCCCCATCGTTGTCTTCCTCCTCCCAAATGTTGTCTTCCTCCTGCTCCTCCTCATCGGACTCTTCCTCCACCTCCTCCTCATCGTCATCTTCCTCCTCCTCCTCATCGGTCTCTTCCTCCACCTCCTCCTCATCGTCATCTTCCTCCTCCTCCTCCCCTCCCCTTCGCCATCTTCCTCCTCCTTGTTATCATCTTCCTCCAAGTGAAAAAAAAGCTGACATGGCAGGGGTGGAGGAGGACAATGGGAGGAGGAGGACGAAAGGATGATGAAGAGGAGCAGGAGGAAGAGGACGATGGGGAGGAGGAAGATGACGTTGGGGATTGTCATCTTCCTCCTCCTCCTCTTCATCATCCTCTTCCTCCTCCTCCTCCCCATTGTCCTCTTCCTCCTCCTCGTCCTCTTCCTCCTCCTCCGCCCCGTTGTCGTCTTCCTCCTCCTCTTCCCCGTTATCATCTTCCTCCAAGCGAAACAAAAAAAGAAAAAGCTGATGTGGCAGCTGAGGAGGAGGACAATCCGACGGCCACGGGGGAGGAGGAGGAAGACGGCGCTGGGGAGGAGGAAGACAACGATGCCATCGTCGAAGGCGCCCTCTCTCTCTCCCTCACACACACACACACACACACACACACACACACACACACACTTACACTTACACACACACACGCATCTGACCCCACTCTGGACCCCACCTACCCCTGCCCCCCACCCCCTAGCCTACGGGGCCAAAACCAACCCCCAAACTGGCCCGCTACGACCACATACGCGGGACACAAAATTGGGTACGCGCGTACGTGCATACCCGTATGCACATCCGCAGAGCCCGCGTATGTGCGTGTAGATACTCCTAATCGTTTTTCTTCACATCTTCAGTTTATATTTGTCTGTTCTCTTAATGATGCTCACAAGGTGAGTACAGAAGAGGACGTAAGAAGGAAGGGAGTAGTAATACCGTAGTATGTGTGCTTGTGTGTGTGCTTATGATGTTCTTTTCTGTAGATGTATCATCCAACTGTCAGCCATACCCATACTTGACCCCTAAGTCTGTTAGCAATTGGTAGTAAGATTATCATCTTCAAGGACTGAACCCTCAAACCAGTCACTTTAAATTGGCAACAGTTAAATCAAGACTAGCTTGATGCTTTGTTGTGCGTGTTTTGCTGATGTGTTTCCATCCGTTTCGATGTGTCAATTCTGGTGCTACACAGTTCAATGGCCTTGCATGGCTCTTCCTCGGAGTTCCAACTAGCAGCTCGCTTCTCTACCGGGAGGTAATTCTTCTAACCTATCAGTCTTATTATCTCTTATTCATATTCGTACTCCTATTCGTATTCGTATCCGTATTCCGATTCGTATTCCGATTCGTATTCGTATTCGTATTCCTATTTGTATTCGATTGGGTTGGATCAAAAAGAGTTGCAAACACGAAGTGGTCCGTTCCACCAAGAGTCCATTCGATGGTGACCTAATTTACTGGAGTCTTAGGTTACAGAAACATTTGAATTAAATCCATACCATAAGAAAAAGCAAATATCAATATAGATTCTGAGAAGAATCATATGAGGCGAAAGTCTCACGTATGGTTCGGAAGCCGAGCCATATCGTCAATGAGATGGTTTAAAGTATGGATTTGAAAGACGCACTTACAAAGGTTATATCCTTCCTATGCCAACAAGAAGTATGATCCCGATGGACCATGCAGATATACTTGCATTTTACAATGCAAAAACCCGTGGCACTGGTTCTCAAAATTGAGTCAGCAATTACAAGCTGGTAAATTTGAGCCACAAGTGTGGCCTTATCTTATCGTACAGAAAGCCCTCACCGTGGTGCTGGACAGCATATACAATCCGGAATTTCTGGACTGTTCTCCTTTTATAATTGCAGGTGTTAGTATTCGTATTCATATTCATATTCCTACTCCGTTTCCCGTATTCCCCATCCTTATCCTAATCCTATATTCCTATTCCTACTCCTCATCCCTTTCCTTAATATCCTGCCTCAACTCCCTCTTCATATTCCTGTCCTTTTTCTCTTCCTATATTGCTATGCTTGTTCCCATTCCACTCTACTCCCCTGATTGATATTTGCCTATTCCCCCTTTCTTCGCCCATACCTGTACTCTGTTCCTACCACCTTCTTCCGTGTATAGATTATATACCTGTACTCTTTTCCTATGGTAACCACCTTCTTCCACCGAATATAGAACGCATGAGAGGTAATTCTTCTAACCTATCGGTCTTACTCCTCCTACTCCATTTCCCCTATTCCCCATCCTTATCCTATATATTCCTATTGCTATTCCCATTCTTTATTCCTGTCCCAATTCCCTTTTGATATCCTATCCTTTTTCTCTTCCTATATTGCTACTCCTATTCCTATTCCATCGAACTTTGTGGACCGATATTCCTATTCCTTTCTTTACCTATTCCTCCTGTATTCTGCCCCTACCACCGTCTTCCACAGATTTGATTGGTCATTCACACGCCGTCCAGGTCGCAGTTGGTTGCCAAGCGTCCGTTGGCTTACTTATAGTCGCTAACTAAAGACCTCCGTGAGAGCTGTATGCGAGAAAACTTGCATATACGGTTGGGGGAAAATTGAGTAGTACACGTGCATGGATAGCACCACCGTCAATGTGTTGAAGCCAGGACTTTTGAATCCGTGTGTGAAGGCTCTCCGGGCTCGCTGTAACTACGGGTAGCTCAATTTGAAATGAATGCATGCATGCGTCAGTAGCCCTAGGGAGCTCTTCAATACACACCCAGTGGCGCGCAGTAATTGAGTCAGCATTCTCAGTTTTACTGTGAATGAATTGTCGCACGTGCGGTGGGGCCATTCGGAGATCAAAAGCTGAAAAGGGGAAGAATCTGGGGCAGATAATTTGATGCGTGAGACTGTTCGGAGAGCCTGTGGGGGCGATCTCTTTGAACGGGTCCATGTGCAACCTCCCTGCCGATCATATGCACTGATGCTGTCTCTTTTTCTGTCTGCTCATTATCTTTGATTGATTCCCTGTTCTTTCTTTTTTTTCTGTTTCCTTTCTCCCTCGTCCTCAAACTTCATGTTTGTTCTTTTCTTCAAACTTTTTTAAGTTTTAATTTTTAAATAGAAACAATGGTGCACTCCTCTTCTGCAGCACAATCTACCCGACCTACGTCTAGATTGATCCATTGTTCTGTAGCAGGCTCTACCCTGCCATCGTCCCTCGAATAGAATGTACGGTCATTTTGTAAGTTGCATCTAGATTGAAAGTTGCCCCAAGTTATAATGCCCGTACGGTGTACGTTCTATTTGTAGGAATACAGTGACAGTAGCTACCTCCATTAACTCCAGTAATGAAGTGCACACTGCACAAGGTATTTCGATGTTGCGCACCCATGCGAATCATCGTGTATGTCCCTCCTGATCTGATCGTTTGGCGGCAATGTTTATCTGCCTCTGTCTCTCTGTGTCTCTCTGCCTATCCTTCTGCCTATCCCTCTGTCTATCCCTCTGCCTATCCCTGTGTCCGTCTCTCTGTCTGTTTCTCTAGCTTCCTGTGTGTCTGTCTGTCTCTCTGGTATTCTGTCTGTCTGTCTGTCTGTCTGTCTGTCTGTCTGTCTGTCTGTCTGTCTGTCTGCCTGTCTGTCTGTCTGTCTGTCTGTGTGTCTTGTGTCTGTCTGTCTCTCTGAATTCTGTCTGTCTGTCTGTCTGTCTGTCTGTCTGTCTGTCTGTCTGTCTGTCTGTCTGTCTGTCTGTCTGTCCGTCTGTCTGTGTGTGTGTGTGTGCTGTCTCTTATACACATCTAGATGTGTATAAGAGACAGCTCCTGGACACTCTCCTAGTGGACCACTGCGTCC